GAATAATAAATACGGGACCATTTTCACTTCAACCGAGACCCAATTAATGAAGCGTTACGGTGGACCCCATTAAAACTGCCCCAATTCAATTCAATTCTCTCCGAGCTCTGAGCTCGAGCTCTAATGGCGAGAATTCAGTGAGAGGACAATCGACAGAGAACGATGCCGATTGTTAGGTATGAGATTAGGAATGAGTTAGGGTTAGGGAGCTCGAAGCTCTATGGAGCTGCAGCGACGAGGGAGGACTCTGAAGCTTTGCTCGAAGGAGTTGCTGTTGCTGGGCTCGTTGGGATCTTGAAGCAGTTGGGGGATCTCGCTGAGTAAGTTTAGTTGTTTGATTTGTGATGATGCATTTGCTTAATCTTTGTTTGGTTGTTATTGTGTTGTGTTTTAGTTTCTGTGATTAATTTGAGTTGAAGCTTAGTTTAGAATGTGAGGACCCGCATTGTTGCAAATTGTGGGGTAATGTGAACCCTATAACAGCAAAGGTTAGAGATTTTTAGGGGAAAAGTAGGATTTTCAGGAAAAGCAGTTAGTTTTGCAAGTATTTTTGAGCATGTGATGGCCTGCATTGTTGCAGAAAATTTTGTAGCAAGAAATACCATTCTTTTGAATATTGCAAATTTTGCAGTAATGTGAACCCTATGATAGAAACGATTGAAATTTTTTTTTTTTAAGGAAAAGGAGTGTTAATCAGGTTAAATTTTCTTTTTCCAAGGTTTTCTGTTAGGACAAAGCATTTGAAATCTTATAGAATGAAAGCTTTTATGGTGTGATAGGCTTGCAGATGATATTAACTTTTTGATGTGTTATGCTCTATATTGACTACTGACTAGGGAATCATAAGATCTGGAGTTTAGGCCGTTATTCTTCTTGGACAATATTTAGCGTGCATCTTTTGAGTTCAGTTACACATAAGCTTCAATTATGTGTTTACATTTATGTATAGATATAACGAGATGCTTGCTTATGGTCCAAAATCTCATCAAGTTGGCAAAAGTTAAAAAAATAAAATAAAATAAAAAGGGGGTAAACACATGTTTATAGAATCCGCATTTCTAATATTCAGTGTTGCATTTACTGTCAGGTTTGATGCTATAACAGATACCAAATATTTTTTGTCTTGAATCAAAAGAGAAAACTATTCGAACCACATTTTTGTAATTCCTATGTGGATATATGCTTTGTGTATCTTCTACTTGCAAATGGAGATTGCAGCTTGCGCCGGTTTCTCTGCAAAGGCATGCATCTCCGCTCAGTAGCAATTAGCACTCCCTGGAAAAGAATAGCACATAGAACTATTAAAAAAAAATTATGCGAGTCTACTAGCAAGACAATCATAATTGGCTGTAATAGTGGAAATCAGTTTTACCTTCAAAGTTTTGAGACCATTCTTGTGCATTTCTACAGGATATGTATGATTTGTCCATATTATCAGGAAATAAGGTTTCTTGATTTAATCGGCACAAGAATGTACACAGAAATTCCCGAATCCCTATATCTGGGAATTGAGATTTGCCTTTCTCTACAGATATCAAATGTGATCAATGAGTTTAAAGCCAAAAGAGGAAGAAGAAACATTGACAATCGATAAACTATTATTTGTTGAGTTTTACACATACAGTACACTGTTATTAGTTACTAGTTAACATGCAGTCCTGTGTACTGGAAGTTGGACCTTAGCCTAACAGTGGAAGAAGAAAAAAATTAATGGAAATCAACCATATGGCAGTGACATATTAAGTTTTGGACCTATGTAACTGTGTTTTTCACCATATGGTAGTTACATATTAATCGACTATATGTTGAGCTTCACACATACAGTTACTAAGTAACATGCACTCTGTGTACTAGGAGTTGGACCTTAGGTCAGCAGTGAACACATCTCTGGCTCAGTTATATAGGTTTAAAATTTAACATGTCACTACCATATGGTAGATTTTCCTGTTAATTTTTTTGCTCTACTGTTGCAAGTGTAAGCATATTATGCTATCATAAGCTGGAAGATGAAAGCATACTTTACTGATAGAATCATGAATCAGACTAACCTAACAGTATGATTAGATTATATGTAATGTAAACATTCAGTCCAAAGTCATCACCTTAAGTTGGGGTATAGATTCTATGTGAGCGCGTGTGTGCAGAAGTGGGGGTTTTCCAGTCCCCTCCAAAGCTTTGTGAAGGCTATGCCTCTAGTTTCTTTTCTTGCTTTTTCTAGGTACCAAAAATGCTTTTCAGCTAAGCAGAAATGAAGCACGTAAAATTAAATTAGTTAGATTTGAGAGGAGCTGATGGTCTGCTTAGTAAGAGGGAGGTCAAAAGAATAAATTTCAATTTCTGAGAAGTGCTGAGTCAAAGCGTACATCTAGTTGGTGCCAGCAGTAGAAAAAAAGCATGTTGAGATCAACTATTCACAATTTTCTATGAACAATTAGTATAGAAGTTTGTTAAAGCATTACTTTTAATTTTATTAAGTAAACGTTCTCCAAATTTACCTTGCGCCTTTTGACCCTCACGTATGGATCGAATTTGCTTCTATCTACCGAATCCCTATATTTATTTGTAAAAGTGTTTAACATCTAAAAGATCAGACGCCGAAACGATAGCAATGAAAAGATATTTCTGCAATAAAGAGAAAAAGGAAACTTAAATATATGATTAATTCAAGTTTACCTTTACCATATTCAAAATCTTTATGGGTTGTCTGGGATCGGTTTCTTATCCGTAACGAAAGTATGCTCCAAGAAGTAGCCTTAGGAATGGGATTGTATCCTTATCCTCAACAAAAATATGATCCAAGAAATAGCCTTAGGAATGGGATCGTATCCTTTTCTCAACAAAAGTATGATCCAAGAAGTAGCCTTGATCCCCTGCGCATACACTCTCTTGATCTTCTAGTCCTTAATTGTATTTGATTTTTTCTTATCACTATGTAATTTGCTCCATCTTGCTAAATTTATAGACATGGGAATGATCTATACTTGGAAAGTTGTTTACTGGACATTCTACCTTTCCATATTATCTTGCTCATAATTCGAAGAATCTACTAATACGCTCTCTTGGATATAATGAAAGATCTTCATGCATAAATGTACTCTTTGATCATTTCATATTCATGTTCTCATAATCTGAATATGTCTTCTTTCTTTTCGATTTATCATAGTCTTTGATACATGAACATGCAGTAGAGGAGAGATGATTCATGTACTGAAATTATGTGGGAGATGAACATTTCAAGCACCTAGAAATTGTTTTTTTAAGTGCTTAGATCATAATGATTTCATTATATCTTAAATGGTCTCTTATTGGATATACTAGTTTTCTTATGCATGAACATCCATGCATGTGGAAATAGTGATTTGCTCACTTTTTTACATCACCATAAAATCAATTACCCAAAGGTGTGGACTAACAGTGACAATACATATAAAAGAAACTTGGTGTTGCCCCTCACGTGGTCCTCTGTGCCACATGGATGGCCTTCAGTGTAAACACAACTTGGTTTTAAGTTTAATAAATAGGGTAAATAAACAAATTCAGTGCCATTGATTAAATTTGAAAGTAAGACCTCTTGAAATTGACAGCAATTGTTGCGAAGAAGGCCCATTAACTTTAATGGATATCTCATATCTGGCTAATATGCTTGGAGTGCTTATCGACTTAATGCGAAAACCCCTATCTCTATCTGAGTCCTCTAAGTCTCATATTTAGGTATCTATCCATCTTACTCCTTTCTGATATGGGACTAAAGACCCTCCCTTCCTGTTTCTTATTTCACTCCTTTTGACATCTTTAAACAGGGTCGAGTCAAAATCTCAAACCATAAAGTGTAGAAAATGTTGTTGGGCAGAACACTAAGATCACCTGTCATGTTCCTATTCTCCTTCTAGGATTTCGTCCTGGCATGAATGTTTAAGCATACATCTGAGGCTTGTTGCTGCGAGTTAAACCTTGCACATCTGTTATCTAACGTTGGAGTGTGTCTCAACTTCTTGAAGTTGTAACCAGGACATATCTAATCTGCTTGCACCAGCGAACTTATATTATGGTAAGGTCACACCATAATCCACTGCTAATATTTCTGCTTAATTCCTTTTAGAATATAAAGCTATAACCCTCAAGCCTCACTACGACTTCAAGTTCTGGTGCATTGGCAGTGTTGACATATTAGTATAGTTAAGGGGCTTATATGTAAGATGTGTTTTGTAGGGCTTATATAAGCCCATGTTATCTTATCAATGAGATTAGGGTTTCTATTCCAATATGATATCAGAGCCACCAAAACCCTAGCCGCCATCGTGGGGCTGACTCGGGTTGGGCTATCGGGTTGGGGCGGTCAAAGGGTGGGGGGGGGCTGAGGTCGATCGAGACAAGAGGGGGGGGCTGCTGTCGCACAAAAGGGGGGGATGGCTGTAGAACAAAAAAATAGGGGGGGCTGCTGTCGACAAAAGGGGGAGGGCTGTTGTCGAACAGGGGGTGCAGTGCGAACAGGGGGGTGCGGTGGCGTGTCCGTGGTAGGGGGAGCTGCGTGGGGGGGGGCTGCCGATGGGGGGAGGCCTGCTGCCGTGGTTGAGCGGTGTGAAGGGCGGGTCTCCGCGTGGGGGAATGTGCCCGTTGAGGGGGGGGGGGGGAGGGAGGCCGGCGGCGGCTAGGGGTTTTGGTGGGGCTCAGGGTTTGGTCGGCTCTGATTGCATATTCGATAAGAACAGCCTCAATCTCATTGATAAGATAACAATGGGCTATATAAGCCTCAAAACACATCTTACATATGAACCCCTTAACTATACTAATATGTCACACTGCATGCACCAGAACTTGAAGTCGTAGTGAGGCTGTGAGGTTATAAGCTTATATACCCCCCCCCCCCCCTCTAAAAGGAATTAGCAGAAATGATTAGCAGTGGATTATGGTGTGACCTTACCATAATATAAGTTCGCTGGTGCAAGCAGATTAGATAGTCCTGGGTTACAACTGTCAAGAACGTTGAGATCACAGCCCAA